TCTCTTAAACTGAAAGGTGTAAAACTGAAGCTTTGAGAATATGAATGCTGAAATCTTTCAGCTAGATGGCCTCCAAGCTTCACAAGCCAGTCAGATTTTTTTCCAATTTCTACGCCGAAACTGAGGAACCAAAAGTCGTCTGGCTCAAACTTTATATAATTCTGTCCACTCACTGCCTATTTCTTCCAAGGTGATCCATTCAGAATGAACAGCTGCCTCTCAGTCCATGAGCTTTATTTACTTCCCAGAGCTGCTTCTGCGAACTCTCAAATGTCTCAGCCACAGGCAAAACACACCAAATGTTCTGTTGTTGGCTGCAAGAGTGAACACAAAAATCTTCATGCACTCACACTATCTGAGGAACAGCCAGAGGCAATGTCCCCACAACAATGTGAAATTCTTAGCCTTACCTTGCGACTAATGTGGCTAGCATTACATATGTCCACAGGTCAGAGTTCTGTGGAAACTGTAATGCTGAGGGACATTCAGGGATGATTTAAACTTTAATACCAATTTGAAACAATAAACAAGACTGAGTGGGTTACTGTGTTTTCATGTCCCCTGTTGTGCTTCAGTGGCACAAAAACTCAGCCAGTGTTTACATCAGCTTGCTTCTCTCCAGCTTCTCTCAGAGTCATTTCCAAGCTGCTACTCGGCACCACGAAACTACTGATTTTATAACCACAGCGCTGGCTGACAAACTCACAAAACAAGTTAGTTCAAAACAGCTGTGTTGTGAATTTGGCGATGTTTCCATGTAAAACGATCATCCATCCATCCATCCATTTTCTATACACCGCGTAATCCTCACTAGGGTCGCGGAGGGGCTGGAGTCTATCCCAGCTGACTCAGGACGAAGGCAGGGCACCCTGGTGACCTGTCCAGGATCCTTGGTTGTTTGTCTCTCTGTGTAGCCCTGTGATAGACTGGCGACTTGTCCAGTCTATCACAGGACTACACGTAGAGACAGACAACCATTCTGATTCTGACCAAGCACACTCACATTCACATCTACGGACAATTTAGAATCACCAATTAACCTCAACATGTTTATGGACTGTGGGAGGAAGCCAGAGAACCTGGAGAGAACCCACGCTGCACGGGGAGAACATGCAAACTCCACGCAGAGAGATCCCAGGTATCCTAACCAGGACGTGAACCGGGGATCTTCTAGCTGCGAGGCGATGATGCTAACCACCGAGCCACCCTGCAGCCCTGAAACAATCATTCAGAGAGCAAGCTAATAGTGATAGAAATAGATGATGATGATAGAATCTTATTCTTCTATCGGCTGCCGTGTGGTCGACTGCTCTGCTCTGTGTTGTCACTCACAGATGCAGAGAGAGTCTTCTTCCTGAATAAGCTTTGGACAACCGAAGCTCATCTGAATTTAAAGCTGTAGACATTTGAACAGCCCTTTAGAACAGGGCTAAAGCCAGGGGTTATGGTGAAACGAACCATCTGTGTGGTGTAATGATGTGAAAAACCATCAGATTATCACTTTCTGATGTCCTTGGACATCTTTGAAGATCTGCTCTGTTGGAAAACTTCACCAAATCTAAGCTTCAAATGGTGATATTTCATCAAAATCACTTTATTCTACATTTTTGTGGTATTATGATCTGGAAAATTGAAAGACACTCTATGGAGACATCTGTGACTTTCATTAATTTGCTGAAATTGGGCACAATATGGGACCTTTGAGTATTCTTCCAAAGTGTTTTTAGGTAAGTAGCCTTTTACTAATTTAGCAGATTTCACTTGGATATCTTCCTGCCATCCTCTGTGCAGTCTCAGAGCGGCTCCTCTCTATCTGTAGATAATCTAAACCCTAATCTTCCCTCATCAGTTGGCTCAGCTAACTGAATATCATTCTCCCTAACAGGCAGGACACAAACACATGCAGTAAAAGTGAGGGCGATGTTATATCACAAACACAGACGAGGCCACATGTAGCTGTGCTAAACAATCCAGCGTGATCTCAGCATATGAGCGTGAGAGAAAGTTATGTTGTCCTGCATGTTGCTCAGTTAGACGGCTGCCTGTGGTGTGTAAACTCGGCCTCTCTGCGGCTCTGTGTCATGCTAATAAAACAGAACACAGAGCGAATCCCAATCTGAAGTTAACCACCATGCTGAATGTGGCTCCCTTGCTTTTTCCCACAGGACAAGCAGCTTCATTATGAAGCACCGTGGTCTCCTTTTCATCTCGGTGAGATCACCCCTGTGGGGAGTATCAACACTGTGAGCCACATCTGACGCTCTCTTGTCCCTGTTTAAACATTGAAATAGTGTTCTGCCATATTGTTGTGCGCTGCCTCTTTTTTTTTTTCTCCATAATGCAGCTGCTTGGAAACTGCCACAGGACTGAAAGATCTCAGCGGAGAAAGGAGGTGATCAATTTCTTAGGGAACCACTACGCACCCTCCTCTTCATCTCCCTGACCCCTCCACCTCCTCTTCACTTCAACTAGCCATAATTATTTTGCAAAAGAGCACCAGAAAAAGAACACGCAGAGTAATTTCTCTTGCCCAGTTATGAAAAGCTCATTAAAATAGGCCTGGAACAAACAAAGCTTCTCCTGTGAGGCCTCTTTTCAAATTCATTTCATAATTTCCCTCTGTTTTAATCATTTATATCAATTAATCATTCCTTGGTGGAAAAGATATTCTCTGCAATCTTCTGTGGGTTTTTTTGTTCTAGTGAGTGAGAGGCTTGATGAGAATGTCAAGAGAATGTGGCTCAAACCAAGGCGGAGTAGCACCGGCTTTGCCAAAGGGAAATCAGCTTGATGCAGCACAATCTCTTCGGAGCTGCAGGAATAATTAAACAATTAAAGTCAAGAAAAAGATCATCTTTATACATCTGACGTCTTTCTAATGAAGCCGGGGGCATCTTATAAGAAAGCTGTTTTGTCATGTAAAACCACTCAACCTGGTGAATCTCAAACAACTTCTCTGTGGGGCAACTTTTCTCCAATAGCAACTAGTTTTAGTTAGTTTGCACTGAAGACGTCACCTGTTTGCAGCACTTTAAAAGAACTAAATATATAACAGGTGGAAGTCTCATCTCTTTCAACACTGTGTTCGAAAACATGCCAGCACCACATTATTTGTATTAATGCTTTCAACCTAAAATCCCTCTAGCAGGTATGAAAGTTTTAAAATAGCTAAAATTACACCATTTATCAGCAAGAAACTGCAAAAATAAAGAGAGATTTGTAACTTTCTGCTGGTCTTTGGGCTACTCATCCATCAGGTGCTGTTCTATTCGGAGACTTAACCAAATTGACATTTAAATCATGATATTTCGGCAAAATCACTTTATTCTACATATCTCATTTAAAAATTAGCCAAAAAATAAAACGATTGCTCCAAACTGAAACGGTAAAGAGGAAAAATTCTGCAGTCCTCAATGCAACCGAGAAACCCATATTTACTTAGCTGCAATCATCAGTCATCTGACAAAAATTCGGAGGCTTTTTAGCTAAACTGCAGGCTGTGTTTACACAAAGCAGAGAGGAGACAATGGGAAGTGTGCAAGTATGGAAACCAATTAGAGAGATTGAGAGCAAAAAAAACTCATACTGGATCAATAAAATAAATATATCATGACTAAAAACTGTAAACAGAGGAGGCTGTTGTTAGCAAGTTGTTGGAAGATACATTCAGTGTTCTCTAGAGGAGCTGTGCAGAGTCGTGTACACATAACAAAGAGCTTATAAAAATGTACAAAGTATGTAAATATCTGTAGTTTGTTAGAGCCAGTGTGTTTTTTCCAGTATTGGTAAAAATCTGTGGACACTTGGGAAAA